CAAAAAACTCATTTTCAATGCCTACAGATCAATGATGGAATGAGCTGTTTGGGGAATGTCCCTTTTGTGGGGTGTGCACCATATACTCCTTGGAGTAATTTGCACAGGAGTCATTCCTGTGCCATCTATATTCTGGAAAAGACATCCCTGCCTTTCTCCATGTGGCTTCATTAAAAACTGCCCTTTTCAACACAGCAGGGCTGGGTCAGCTGTGGTGGTGCTTTGTGCACACATTTCTACCTCCACACAGATCTTAAATGAAATCCAAAGTATAAGAAGGAGGAATCCTGACACTGAAAATGTCAATGGGGTGCTTGCATCCCTGGGGCAAGCAGGTGTGAATTTATGTACCTGGGCATCCTCTGGGAGAATAAAATTAAAGCATGTCACCCTCCATTCTCCTGAACTGTACCAGGTGATCTGATAACATTGCAGCTGGCAGAGTTGTGGGTCAGAAGAGGAGAGAAAGATCTTTGTTTTGCACTTGGAAACAAACTTGTCTGAAAAACTGCAGCTTTCCAAGACTTGCTGTGGATTGCAGAAATAAGGTGACATCTAGATCCAGAAATGTTTGATTAAAAATATTCCAGACTCTTTTCCCACCTATTCAATGAGGACACCTAGCACAGTGGTTTACTGCGCCAGTTTTGGACACTATAATTAGGATTCAGCTGCAGTGCAAAGAGAATGCAGTAACCTTAGCTGAGTTTCAGTCATTAAGCACATATTTCTATTTTCCATAGCTGAGCCTGACATAAAAAATTTGTTATTTTGCCCCTGTGTGTTGGAAGCAGCAGCAATTAGTATATAGACAACATACCTGGTAAAGCAAAATAAGGAAAAGGGCTAAATTACTACAGCAAGAAATTCAGGTATTTAAGGTTGGGAAGAAACCCAGACTATCATGGATCAAATAATCTCACAGCTTTCAGAGATCTCTCTCCAACAGAGCACATGAATATTTGGAGTCTGTGTTTTCTAAGAGAAAATGAGTGACATTATTCCCACATCACCAAGGGGGAAAAACTAGAGTGAAACAGCTTCACCTTGCCAAGGCATGGCACATGCCTGTGGTGGGGACAGGGACAGCAGCCATCCAAGGCTCACTCCTGTTTTGCTCTGCAGATGTCATGCCCAGGAAAACACATTTCAGGCCTGAAGTCTGGCAAGTGAGACAGAAAATGGGGGAAACTGTAACAGCTGATCATCTTTTTAGAGGCTAACACTGGTATAATGTTAACTCCTTTTATTGTTTAAATTTACCGAAGTGATTTATTATAAAACTATTCTCAGCATCCTTCTCTATTTTGAAAATTCAAGTATTTTCTTAAATTCATTTTGAGAAGACTGCAGAGAAGGGTACTTCTTTAGTCATGTAATTTCTGTTTAAATAAAAGCTACAACCAAAGAAAATTAAGTTGCTTTCATTTTTACTCTTTGTATAGAATCTTAATATATTATTGACTTAGAAAATTGAATTTCTTTTGATGATAGTTCTAGTAAGCTGAAACTTGCTAAGCAAAAGCTACTGAACAGAAACCTTGGTAGCCAGGTAGTTTAAGTGCAGGTCTGAACATGGAAAGTCCAGAAGTTTTCTTCATTTCATTAGGGGCATGTAAGTAACACTAGACATATAGACAGGTAAAAACATGATACCTAGGTTTCAATTTTGTTAAAAAAATGGCAACAAAACCACAGGAAGTTAGACTGAGATTGTACACGAGGAATTTTTTATGACAGACAAATGGTCCAAGGCAAGAGCACTGAAAGTAGTACTTGATTATGCTTAAAGAAAAATGTCCTTTTCCTTTGACTGACAACTAGGCACCAAGCCTGAAACTAATGCTTCACCTCTTCAATTACTTTTTGCTAATCTATGCTTTCCTAGATCAATACTTCTTAAAAATTATATATATATATATTTATATATATAAATGTTTATATATGTACATATAATGTGTGTTTAAACCTATTATAAAATCATCTGAGTGTCATTTCATTGCAGGTTACTTAAACTTACCTGACCATAAATGTTTTCTTTAAATGCTCTTTTCAATGAGAATACCTGGTATTGCATGTCACCTAGGAATACACCCACTTAGAAAGACATTTATGCTTACTGTCATTGCATCCACCATGTAGCTAAAAGTCTAGCAAAAATGAGAAACAAAATATCAGTTTAAAAATTGTGGCCACCCTATAAGTAAATAATTTTATGTGTGCTTGTCTAAGGATTACCTTTGAATAATTTTGGCCACTCATGCAGTTTTCATTAATAGCAAAAATCAAAAGATGGCTTTATCAGAATAATAGTAAGATTTTACCTTTTTTTGTTTAGATCAAGCCACATAAAAATTAAGGGGCACAATGAACCTACTAGGAATGCCCCTTGTTTATTACTACCCTTGCCTAAATACGGCAATATTAAGACATCTTGAAATATGGCTGAAAAAGCAGATAAATAACACAATAAAGACAAAAATTTAAAAAAAGACAAAAATAAGGATACATGTCCATACAGATGACTAACTTCTAACACAGCTTGGTGATCTGTTTCCTGTTATAAGATTACTTTTTCCAGCATTACAGGTTACAAGGGAAACATAAAAGAAGACTGTCAAGAACAATGAAAAATCATGACTATGCTAGGACAGCATTTTGTTCATCCTATAACTGGTCCCAATGGACCAGAAAAATGAAAAACATAAATAGTACTTAGATATGCACCTTGGACATCAAGATAGCTCCTTGCATAACTAGCTGCTAGAACAACAGTTGTTCACTCACCAGGAGCACACTGTTTAGTCACCTTGTTTAGGCAATTTTAGGCTCTATTAATTCTATATCATTTATGTATATAGAAACATAGGTCAAAGTAACATACCTAAAAACTAATATAATTGAGTTCATCTTTCTAGAGAAAAGTACATGCCACAGTTTAGCAATTTAATCTGTGCTGAATTAGGTATTATCTCTTGCTGCAGATCTTTATTTTTATGCTTTTTTTCATCTACTTCTCTTCAGTTTTCAATAAGCATCAGTTCATCTGAAGTATAGTTCAGGCTTTACTATTCATAGCAACGTAACTCCATCCTTGGATGTGAGAAAGATTCTGTTCTCCTGAGAAGAAACCAGAGCCCATTGATGCCAATAGCAACAAGCTCACAGCAGTATCACAAATAGAATGCAGCCTCACTAATCCTGTAAGCCACCAAGATGATGGATATTGTGAGATGCCATTAAAATATTCCCAATTTTGGGAAGGAAAAAAATTTGTCATAAACTCACTTTGTATAGTTTGGCTCATCCAAGAAAAAATGGGATGTCATCACGCATATAAACATAGCACTACTTCTGCAGGTTTTCTCCCTTGCTTCTATAAATCTTTTCTTCCTGTGAAGCCTATTTCTTTGTGGGGTTGCAGGTACAAAATAATTTACTTAAGTCACAAGTAAGCAACACATGGGAAACTGTCATTAACATGAAAACAGGTACTTTAATAAATTGGGGAAAAATGGGAAACAGAGATTGGTATTTGGATTCCTTTTTGGTTTTACGTGTTTTTCTAGACCATCTGAAGCATCTAATAAACACTTGGTCATTTGTCCAAATAAGGTTCCTTTTCCACCTCTCTTTTTAAGAAATCCTGGTTTTGCCTGTTAAAAACCCCATTTTTATCTTTTATTCAGTAGCACACATGTTCCCTGTTGTACACCCCAAATGTATTCCTTCTTTTCAGGTAGATCCAAAAACCATTACAGACTATTGATACAGATATTGCAAAGAATGTGAAGCACATAAGAGCAGAGAATTCTGCTCTACTGAAAGCTCTGTACTATTGCATAGTATTAAACCATGCCAAATGTTCAGCAGCACCATAATTAAAACTTTGATATTGCTACCCACTGCCTGGAGCACAGAAGTGTGAAAACCCTTACTGTTAACAGCATCAGTTTCCAACTGCCTCACCTTGACGAGTTCTTCCTTCAGCACAAGAAGGTCATAAAGAGACATTTGCTCACTCCAGAGAAGTAATCTAACGTGACTAATGTTCAGATTGACATACCACTAATTTAGAAACTGAATTCTCATTGGACAAGTATTGCAGAAAACTCTGGAGATAACTGGTATCGCCAAGTATTTTGTATTTGCCATACATTCTTCAAAACTCAAGTTCCTGTAACCACAAATAGCTGCAAAAAAAAGTATTTCATCATTTTCTATGGAATAACTCAAGCTAAAGGTACACTCCTACTTGCTCACTTTTGTGCTTTTTAAATAAGTGGGTAACATTCCATATGTTCACATTAAAAAAACCCTAAGTATTTAGATCTTTTTGATATCTATGTTTCATGAATAATGAAATACTTTTGGATTCTTTTTTTTTTGCTCCAATACCTATTGTTTGTAATTCAGTTAGCCATATCTGGAAGCTACGTTCACAGTTTTCAAACTTCAGATTATTTAAATTGAAACATGGCAGAATTCACAGATGTGCAAAACCCTTAAACATGCAGTAAAAACCTCATTAGGAGCTACCTTCCATTGTGTTTGTGTCAACAGGTGATTTAAAATTAGGGGGAAAATGGAGCACAGGAGAACACTTATTTTAATTTTAGAGCAGAGTAACCATGATTATCTTTTCAAATGGTTCCACTCTGCAGCTTTGGATAAATTTTACACTGAACATAAAATCAATGAAGATTATGTATGTAGACACATCAACTGTTCTTAAACATTTCTTCTGACAGCAAATTTCTTAGGAATGGGAATCAATACACTACTATTGCCAATGCAACAGTGAATGATCCATTCACTAACATCACGTCTAGCTCCCACTTTCTGGTCAATGGATAATGAGGAGTTTGGTTTCTGTAAGCCAAATGTCAAATGCCTGGTTACAGAATCCTTGCATAATATTTAAAAGTAAATCTGAAGTATTTAAAAAAAAAATTTGGCAAGGTAGAATACATGTTTAATAAGCAGATTGAGGCCCAAAGTATTCTGATGAACTTTTATTAAAAATAATCTTCCTATAGTAGTATGGAATTCTTTAGCAAAGTCAGGCCACCACCTGTTGCACAGCCATCTTCAGTAAAACAATAAATTTGATCTTCTCTCTTCCTCTGGTGATCAGCACTGCTGGCTGATAACTGCTCTGCTTATGAACACAAATGCTGTTTTGACCACGAATGCAATTTCCAAGCAGCCAAGACACAGCTTTACTGAAAAGGAAATCACCTTTCCTTCAACAAAGCCAGTTTTTTCTAAACTTTTACAGATGGATATAATTCCATGCACAGTCATTAGATCCAGAAACTTCTCAGTATGAGAACCAAAAGTAGCTTAATGACACATTACAAGTTGATTTGTGATGCTCTGCATGCAGTTTGCTTTTCAGGCCTTTGGGGGCTGCTTCCCTTTCTGAAGGCAATGCGTTCAAGATGCGGGATGTCTGCTTCCCAGCGCTGCCTCTATCTGCTGGATGTCATTATGCACTGAAGATTTATGTTCAGCTTCAAATCGAATGCAAGCTTCACACTCTAAGTAGGGATGCCCACAAACATATTGTTCTTTGGAGAGCAACTCTCTGGCTCCATAGATATAACTTGGACAGAATAGTTATGTTCTTCTGCAGCCCATGCCCGATCCAGATCCACAAGTCCCATACACTGCTTTCCTAAAATGAGAGCAAGGGAAAGCACAGAAACTCAAAATGTAGAAACATTAGCAGAAACATGCATGTAAATATTCAATGTTAGGAAAACACATCAGTAAGCCATCTAAAAAATAAGTTCCAAATCTACTTTAAAAAACATCTTAATCTGGTTTACGTTCCAAATCACATCTGTGACTTGTAACCCTCATTTTGCCAAGACCTTGAAGAGATTATTAACTCCTTATTTATGGAAAAAGGCACAACTATTTAAAAGTATTCTCAAAACTTACAGAAAAAAAGTATGCTTTAATGTAAATGGGAAGAAAAATGCTTGGTTTATACCTTAGCCCTCTGAATTGCCGACTTCTAGTCCCTTTATAACCATAGCTGTTTCCCTCCTGTACTTTCACCTAAAATCTGAAAAATCTCTGGTGATTGAACATGAATAGACTAAAATACCAAAAAGTGATCCAGTGTAATTGATTTGAGACATATTACTGTAACTACTTATAAACAAATATACTAAATTGGTAATACAAAATAAGCTTATTTCAGATTTACCTGCAGAAAAAAACCAGGAAGGATAGAGGATATTATTCTGCTTAGAAGTTTTTTATTATGATACAGCCATGACAAGATGATGGGACCATTTGTCTTTACTTATTTACTCATTATAATTGATTATTATGTTCTGAAAAACAGAATTGACTTGTCAGATTGTATTTTCAGCATCTTGAAACTCTATTGAAAGAAAAATTTAATGCTGCTTTGAAATGTTTTATCACTAGTAGTTACAGTCTCAAGTCAACAGGGCACAATCCTGCTTCAGTCCCAAACATAATGATCCTGCCTCTTCTCTTGTTCCTGACAGAATTGTATAGTTAAATGTACTTGGGGTCTGAGAGGAAGAGACAGGAGAGGAAGAGACATCCTGTTTGCCTTTGGAATAGGAGTCTGGCATTCCAAACTACCCTCTGGAACAGCTTACCTCTCTTCCCTGAATATATAAAGAGCTTTTGTGCCTGTGTCATTACCAGCCCTGTTATGCACCCTGGTCAGGTGCCATTAGAAGCTTTGGGCAGGTGGCACCAACACACCCTGTAGTATCCTTGTATTTCAGAGCAGTTGATGCACATCACAATTGAATGCAGGGCTCAGTCCAACCTACCCTGTCTGTCCACAGTGAGTCCACAGCCAGGACTATCCTTCTCAGCTGGATTCCTTAGTTACAAAAGCATTTCACTGCTTTGAATTCACTACTATGACATTTGGCCTCAGTTCTGTTGGTGGCTTGAGATTTGAGGCGGGTTGTAATTGGGTTGGAGACAATTTAAATAGACAATAATAAGGGAGGGCCTGAAAAATATTTTTCCAACTCAGTCCTGTATGGATTTGTATGTTGCAGGGAGAAATCACCAGTTTATATAACCAACCAGGACAGAACTCTGCAAATTACCTTTTGTAGCCCTATCCTCCCACATTAGTGGTTTCATAGAAAACCACTTTCTGTGGTTGGTTGAACAAAACGGCCACTGTCTCCAATATTATTGTTACAATAATACACACTGTCAGGACAAAACACTTAAGTTACATTTGTGGAAAAAATCCCTGCAGTTTCAGACACTGAGACCAGATAAAGTTACAATCCTTCAAAAAAAAAAAGTGGGTCCTATTTCAATTTTCAGTCCACATGGTGTCCAACACTAGTAAATGAATATTGACCTTTTTAAAATTTGTTTTTCAAATATTGTGACGATGACAAAAGAAACGGACAAATTTACTGTCAGCTTTTATGCACGATCTCTATTATTTGCTTTTTGTGCAGCAAGTGTAAGAAGTACTTTCAATTGTTAAAATTAAGCTTCTTAAAAACATCATGCTTATTAACTAGCACTGCTTTAATATACTTTGCAAATGTTTCTTCTAAGCCAAAAATGCAGACTTATCTCTAAGCAGACTTAGAGTTCCTAGCCCCTTCTGTCTTTTCTGGCCTGGAAGCTAGTTTACAACTTCCATCAAAACAACAATACCAGACAGTAAAATGAAAACTGTCACTTGCATATTGATGATTTTGGATGAAGAAAAACATTTCTATAGCAAGAAGAGAACAGCAAGATGAGAAGTGTGACAAAACTTAAATTTTTCAACTGTTATCTGAAGACATCTACTTAATGCCCCATTCATAAATGTCCTACTTCTTCATATATCAAGGTAAAACCATGGTTTACACAACAGCTGCAGAAATTCATACCAATTAGCCTGCGTTCAGGTGGAAGCTGAACAGCTGTCTGATCTGCAAATCTGCAAAGAATCATGTGCTCCTATAAAAAAGACCAAAAAAAAGAATTCATCAAGAAAAATCTGATTAAATGCTTAAGTGTATCAGAAATGCTACCACATTGAAGACAGTATTTCTAAAAAAATTTACCTGTGTGGAAATCCCAATTTTTATATCGCAAATACTTATGTAGGTAAAGTGTTTGTAATCACTGCTTCATTTCCCTTCATGAGTATTTATTTCTTCCTAAACTTCCTAATTCTTTGCAGCAGTTGAATGGGATGCAATGTATACAAGACAGCATTCTTCAAAGACATCCGAAGACTAATTTTGCCTTCAATAACTGATGAGCAACACAGCCATCTTTTAGCACAGTCATAATAGGGCAGCCTCCCTGCATCAATAAGCAGCTGAGACAAAATTCTTTAACAGCTGACTTGAACATTTCTCCCAGGCAGTGATTTTGAATCCCAGGATAGGCTGATGGGTCAAACTTCCTCTGCCCCACCAAATCTAATCAGATCCTGAAGGCAAAAAATACCTGGCTGTGAATAGGAAAGTCTCCTCCAACAAAAGGAGCACAATTTACTTTCAAACTACCCCTGTTCCAATAAAATTTTCTGCAGACACTTCTACAGAAGAATTTCTCCCTGCCCACTCAGCCAGGGGGATGGTGCAGGGGAGGAGCAGCAGCAGAGCCCCATCCTCACTTGCCTTCAATGCCCACTGCCTGTGCCAGCACTGCCAAGGAAGGCAGGTTAGCCAGGTGGAGAGAGCAAGAGCATTGCAGGTGTGGCAGTGGAATTACTGCTCTGGTGACAGCTGTGCTTTGTGGGACAGCTGCAATTCTCAGTACAGGGCAGAAGAAATCGGAACAATCTTAGAATCACACAGCACTCCCAAGTCTCCCACAACGTCATGGGGAGAAAAGATAATTGGGCAACAATGCAAAATGCTCTCCTAAGCAAAATTTCCAGAGCTATAGTTCTGAAACAAGGACATGTTTCAGAACTAAAGGACAAGCTTTAGTTTACCTTCGTGGATATTTGTGTCTTGCATCAAAAGGATTTTTTTTATTCTTGCCTGATAGAAAATTATTATTTTAAAGATTTGGTTCTTGTAACAGGTGGTGAGAGCAACTTCACCTAAGGATACTTCAGGTTCTTCCAGAATTCTGAAATACGGATACTTATTCCAGCTTTTTTAGAGGGCCATAAACATCCAAGCCTCCACCCCACAAAAACCCTTCATATTAAATCAAGATGGCAGTTCTCTCAGTACACTCCACTCAATTCATAAACAGACACCTGACCGCAAAAATTTTTCCCATATACTATAAAATATTATCACTGCTTGATACACAAATATTACTCATTTAAATATATTTATAATATCTTGATGCAAGGATATTTGCTCCCTAGTACACTGCATTGACATGAAGGTTTCCAGCTCACAGCTTCATAAAAAATATGGAAGCAAAATAAGACATGTCATAACACATTAAGGGCCTTAAACATGTTACACCTGGTCAGTTCAGTTCAAATGTGGCTACTCCTACAGTACAAAAGAGGTGAAAATGTTAAACCCAGATGTGGCCACTAAAGAAGAAGGGGTGCCATGGACAATGTGGCCACTGTTAGGAGAGAAGCAGCTTGGGGAGAAAAAGAGGGATTTAGAGGAGAGGGAGAAGACCCATGTTAGCACACAACTCCTCACCAGTCTTCGGGCACCTGACAGAACTTGGCTCTTTGCAACAGCAAGTTCCCAGCTCTTTGGACCAGACCAGAGCCAAGGTAAGTCATGTCACTTAACCTGAACATCTGAACTGACTCCAATCCTTGGCTTCTTACAGAGTGATCCAAAAAGATAAACTAGACGCTGTTATGACTACATTGTTCCCCCTGAAACAATGATTAAATTGTCATATTCCTTGTTGGCTGAAGTAAAAAAGGCAATTCTAAAGTAATGATTAGAAACTCCTCCAAAGTGTGCATAGACAGTTAACTTGGTTACTAGAACACCCACCTGTTCCATTTCTATTAAATTTCCAGAGCTGTATTTGCAAATTTATACAGTGCTACTTTCCAATTCTCCTCGCGTCTTGACAGAGTCTCAAAATGCATCACAGTAGAAATCTACAGCTAGCATAACCTTATTCCTTGCAACTATAAACAAATGAATTACAGCATAATGTTCTCATCAAAAAAGTTTTGGAAATGCCAGACTTCTGGATGTCTTTTTAGATCTCACTAAAATGAAAGATAAGAGAAATTAATTTAAAATGGGAACTGGAGTGGGTGACACAGACAATGTCTGGCTAACACATGGCAACTTTGGCTGCTAGCCAATAACCTGTAAGAATTTATTAATATGAAATATAAAAACACAGCTAGCTGCATAACAGGAGTTATTTATAACTAGGATTATTTGAGGCACCAACCAGCCTAGACCAATTGTATAGACTCTCATGTTACTAAGAGCACCAATATTTTTTGGCCTTATCTTTGACTCCTGTGCCCTTCTGCAACACAATTAATAAAATTCTGGAGCTTCTCCAGTATTGACAAACCCTGTGATTTAAATCTGCATGGTTTAACAGATTAAGAAGAAATTCACTGAGTTGCAATGAGATTATACACGCTGTCCTAATCTAGGCATCCTTGACTTTATAATTGACATCATCTCTCTCTGTACTGTCAGCAGGTTTAATAATGCTAGTAAATAATTTTTTTCTGAGCTGAAACCTGAGTTCTTTGAGATGATGTAACAGTGATGCTGAAAGGAACATTAATCATAGGAAAAATTAATGGCAGCTCCAAATCCATCATGTGGCTTTTGGCATCTCAGTCTTTGGGCATTTATTACCTGATAACTGAACTTCCCTTATAAGATGGCTGGAGATTTTCTGAATTCTTAAAACTCTCTCTAATTTAGGGATCAAAGACGATAATCTAGATTTTCCTACCACATACATTATTTTTGCACTGCCCCCTGTTTCCAAAAGCATTTGGATAACAGAAATACCCTCCTCTATTTCCATATTTCTGTTACAAAGAATTATTCTGCACCTCCAAAAATCACTTCTACATTGTAAAAGTCAAGAGTCATGTCTAGGATTTGAGCTGTAAGTTTACATAACCTTGCTTCTTTCAGAAGGAAACACGTTCTTTCCATGCCACATTAAGTGCCTCTAACCCTCAAATTTTGGGGTGCTCATCACTAACTAGTTTAAACTCACAAGATAAAACTTAACAGATCAGTACTAGTTTTCTGCTGCCCACCTCTCTGCTCTTCCTTTTCCACTCTCCTGTTACCCTTCACTCTGTCAGATCTGTATGCTTCAGTGATAATTTCTCCTGTGTTTCTCTCAAATTATTTCCACAGACCCCAGCTGCTCAGGGTCAAAACACACTTTAATATTTCAAAAATAATTTTTAACAACATTTTTAAAACTGCATAGAATATAAATACTGTATTAAATTCTTGCTGATCTGTTTAAGCTCTTCCCATTTACTATGTCCAATGTTTTAGACATAAATTAGAGGGAGGAATCTAATGTTTATTACTACAGTTGTATTTAACATCTAAACAAATTGGTATCCTGTAATTTTTAACTGATACACTGATTGAAGTACCTTAGGAATGGCTCACTTATACATAATGACAAAAAATGTTTTTTTTGTGGAGAAACTATTTAATTTTATTGAAGAAAAAAGCCTTTAAAATGGATGGTAGAGAGAAAACACAATGGCACCTGGTCTAATAATGAACATTTCACATAACACATGCCCCTCCTCGGGATTAGAAGATAACCACCTATATTTCATTTGATAAGAAGACCCAGTGAAATGCAGGAAGCTGCACACAAACATCTTCCCTCTGTCCTTTTACATACCTTGTAGGACAAAATTTCTTTGAACTGATGACTGAAAAAAAAAATAGATCAATTCAGTTCACATCTGAAAACAGCAAAGGTGGAAAATAGAAGCAATCATTATATATTTGAACACATTTAAAAAAACCCAGCAATATCTGTATCATACAGAAAGGCATAAAAATACCAAAACCCATTACAGCTCCAGTTCACTAGAAAATGGTGGGGTTTTTTTCCTAGGTTATTAATAAAAACTCTCTCTTTAAATCATTATAAATGCTAACATGTACCTACTGTGGTTTTCTCACTGTCATATAAGACTTTACATATATTCAATTACACACACATATATTTTGTTTGTATCACAAAGCTAAAGGGTCTTTACAATGGAATTGGGTACAAAACACAGCTACTATGGGGATGTTGCCAGGCTATCATGTTTTGTCATCATATAACATAAGGAAAAAAAGGAAAAGCAAACCCCAAAATGTACCTCAAGACCAGGCTGATATTTCACAGACTTATGAGGTTAGACAGAAAATTGCAGCAAACACAATCATTTTTGCAGCATCCACAGCAACAAAAATTTTCTAAGTGATCATTTCCAGGCTCTGTGGTCTAAAAATGAAGCTGGTGAAAAGTTAAACATTAACCAGCCAATTTTAAAACAAATCTGCTGAGAAAAATTATATGCCTGTTAATTTTAGAAGGCTTGGAATTTTATTGCCTCTTCATTAGAAGACTTATTTGTATTATTGTGTCACAAGACAAAATGAAAGAGATGGAAGTATCAAATTGACTAAGAAAGAACAGTTAAATGCAAAGGTTATCAAATTGACAAGTTATAAAAAATTACTTTCCATACACTTCTGTACCACACTTTGATACTACAGAAAAGTATGAAAAATATTTCACATGAATGCATATTATCTTTTTAGATTTGTTGATACCTTTTAAGACTGCATGTTTCAGTTTCTTATTGCAGAAAATATATACTTAAGTCATTGATGTAACTCCTGGTAGAATTAAATCTAATTCATCTTCGACATCCAAAATGCAAAGCTCAGTTTTATTAACCAAAAAAAAGTCCAAGCAAAACACAACCCTTTTCCTCCACCTAGTTCTGACTCAGAAGGCTGTTTAACCTCTTATCTTCTGCCACTTTTTGCTTATCTTTTACATTTTATTTATATCAAAGGCATTAAAATTCTTAAGCAAGAGATATATTAGTATCTCCCACAAGGCAGATTTGAAGACAAAATATGTACACAATCCATTGAAGAAGTATTAAAAATATGAACTGAAACACAGAAGAGCTTATCTTCTTGGGAATAAATCAAAGAAGTTCTACAAGCAGTAAACTGTGGTATAAAGCAGACCCATTTCTTTAAACTGACTGCTTACATCTTGCTCCAACATTAAAATGTCAATTCCCCTTCTTAAAGTAATTTTCATGAGTTTTCTATTCACTTTGTGATTTGAAGGTAGAAGGTCTGCATATAAGATACTATATCTACTATGTTGATTGTATAAAGCCTTCTGAACCATGAATAGATAAATCTAGAAAAAAAAAAAATCCAGGAATTATCAATCTGCCCGTGAGGATGGGTTGACAAACAGGAGGAAACAGTTTCATTTTAAGTGTGAATCAGCATAGTCTGGTCACTCTCAATGATCCTCAAATGATTAATTCTATACTCTTTTAGGATTTTATTCCTTCACTTAAACTGATCTTGCAAGCTTTAGTTTACCTTCGTGGATATTTGAACTTGACTGTATTTTGAATGAAGCCGTAGCAGCAGGGGGAGATGACAAAGGCTGCCCGTGCCCTGAGGCAGTGCTCAATCACCATGTCTGTGGCCACCCCACAGGCATGCAAGGCCACCTACAGCAGGCAAAACAACCAAGAAAACAGGGAAATTCATCACTGGAACATTCTAAATACAATCCAGCATTTTTTTTGGTTGACTGAGTTAATTAAATGCATGAGGAAATTTTTGCAACTAAAGCTGTTACACAGAAGGCCTGGTCCTTAATTCTCCAGTTTTTAATTTCTCTCCTTCATATCTATGTCGAGGAAAATTTAGGGTGTATTTCATTAACAAGGAATCAATCACTCACCAAAAGCACTCAAAAGGCAGGTGCACTTCATTGTGATCTCAAATAAACCAAACACAAATCTCCAGGACAAATAGTAGTTGTGGAATACATAATAACAGAAAAACGTATGTGGTGATTTGTAAAAAGTTTTTGTCAAGCAAAAAGGACTTAGAAATACAAAGAACTATGTCAAAACTGGATTTCAACTAAGCATCATGAGAAGAAGCAGATATACCTGAAGGTCACATCTTAAGGAAAAAAATTATGCTATTATGCTAAAATTAGGCTGATATTATATAAAATTAGATAATTTGATTTTCAAGTACTGAGTAAAATCTATAGGAAACAAACACTGGAGCTAGGGGAGGCATCAAATACAACTTGCCCTCCTTTAATTACTTTTTTCCTCTTTGTTATTCTTTTATTTATTTTTCTTTCTGTGAGGGGCTCTAACTAAAACTAAAATAACATTTGATCACAACTACCCGCGAGCACTGACATGTTTGGGCAACACAAAGGTTGCACCCAAATTCTTTCTGCTCTCCTACAGAAAAGCAAATGACTGCAGTACTCAACATACTGCAAGGGAACACAGGCAGCTCCCTCCTATCCATAGCTGGGATGCCAAATGCACCACTGAAATGGGGCATTACCTTCTCTGCCTCCTCCCAGGTGCCTTCTCAGCACCTCAAAGAGTAGGCCTGGTGCATACTTAAACTAAGGATGTTTTTGAGGCATATTTCTGATTTTATGCAGCAGTGTGGATTTATTAAACTACATTGTTTGCTTTGTTTTTAGTTCACTGTATGTCTAGAGAAGAGGTTTAAGACTGCAGAGCTCAGATTTCAGGGTTCAAAGCCGTTTTTCAAGGTAGAGCAACTGGAAGATAAAAACTTTGCTCTCAGATATAGATTAAAACAAAGTCTTTTTTGTTTCCAGTCTGCTGCTGTAAGCTCAGCTGAGGAGACCATTAATCATCAACTGAACTGTAATTGCATACAGATGGAAACAAATATTCTTGTCTCAGGCAAAACACTAAAAAATTAACAAGAAAATAATTGCATGATTAAATTTTCTGCTCATATGAATTTAACAACAAAAATAAAACTAGTTTAACATCAGAAATAGAATCTTAATATCACAGCTATCAGATTATCATGGAATTCAATTATAGTTACTTCCTCATCTATCCAAGTAGAAAACAAAGCCAGCACTCTGCTTTCCTCTTTTTGCTTGCAGAAAAAGAGACCTTAAAAAAGCAGCAGATAAACCAGTAGCTTTGCTGAGCCTGTATGACCTGTTACACCAAATGATATCTCTGGCTTTCTGAAAACCCATTTAGTTAAGAAAAAATCCCAAATAAAATTCAAGACAAAGCTTTCTCAGTATACCCTATACATTGAACTCACTATGTGAAACAAAATAAAATGTGAAGACTAATGCAGATATTTAGAAAAGAAGAATTTCCAAGTGAACTCTTCTGACATATACTTCAATATCTCCCTTGTCACAAAACTTGAAAGAGAGAATGTAATGCTTTTTTATTAAATAAAAACTCCACAGGGTTAACATTGTATTAACCTTTAAAATGGGCCCCCAGAAATCAGGATCAGAATTCCAATGACCACAAAATTGGAGACTCACTTCATAAAACAACTATTAAGCATTTCACACACACCAAGTCAGTGTATTATTCATGAGATCCTGGTATTTTGAAATAGCTCTCTAGTTCATGCACTGAGATTTATATGACAATGTAGCACAGAAAATAAAGCTAGAGAATAGGAAATTTACACTTGGAAGGACTGGGCTAAAACCATTTATTCTCTCCTCTGTCTCCTGCATTAAATTTCTTTTCCTTTCTTAAATAAACCAACCAAACAGTTAAACAGCACTGTTCATGTATCATAAACCTTTAGCATTACCTATCCCCAGCTACAATCTAAACAGGCTTTTAGATGGATGATTTAAAGAACAGTCAGTCTTGCATGGAAAGCTTGCACCTTGCCACACAGGTTCATATTCTATTAACAGCATAAAAACCTAGATGACAGGAATATTTACAGAGCTACAAAATACTATTTATGCCTTATTCTTCACTAGGGCTGTAAAATTCTACACAGAAGATTAATCTCATTTACTTTCACAGTCTGTATAGACATACAGAATTTTATTCTCTCATGTATATCAGTTGTTTTAAGAATAATTAATCAGACAGAAGTTTTGAAGTGGAAAAGTTATAATCACTTACCCCAATGTTAAAAGTCCCATTAAAATAGTCCAAATTTGCTTGAATAAACCAAATGTTGTTTAAACCTAGTTCATCACTTCTGTCTTTAGCACGGATCAGAGATAACTCCTTATTTTCTATGAGTACCACCTAAATTTCACACATAGGAGAAAGTAAGGCAAAATAATACTGAGAAATAAAAGTACAACACTACCAAGCAGAAAACTTTGTAGTTTGTTGACAAAACCTCTGAATCACTTGTGGCAGAGTCTGAGATCTACAAAATTATTATCTGGACACCCGGGAACAAACATTTAATACTTGCCAATATTAATCAGACTACCTTTGTCTTCTCTGGAAAGCACACACTCATTTGGGGATTATGCTAAAAAATTTGCATGTTCCAATCCTAAATCCTCTGCTGAGACAACTGTGACCTCTATATGTCCTCTCTATATACACATCTTTCACATCTTTTTAAGATGATTACCAGAAATCTTTTTATTGAGGATTTACCTGACATGATGGCATCATATAAGCAAGAACAATTCCAACATGGCCCTGTGAAAACAAAAAGAAATAACAAAATCTGAGTCATTTTTCAGTGTTCCCTGTTGTTCACTCATTATGTGATGAGCATCCCCATAGCAATGAGAGAACCTTTGAAAGCAGCTAAAATTTCAGCATCTGCACATCTGCTTTTCTTTGTAGCAGCAACCACCTAGCACTGCAAAGACGAAAGCTGAAAGAAGTTGCACCATATAAACAAAAACATACATTACCCCTCCACTGCAAAAATCCACAATCAAATCTCCAGGTTTTGCAAGTTTTGTCACTGCTGCTACCAAATTGTTCAGCTGCTGCTGCTTCCTGAGAGCCCGGTCTCGAGACATCTTTCCTGGGGATGACAGAGAAAATGTCTAAGTAATGATCAACAGCTCTCAACACTGACAATTTTACATGGGTAACTGCAAAGCACTGCAAATGCAATTTATCACTGAGATTGAAAACCGCTGGAAAACTTGTACATCTTAATCCACTTCAAGCTAAATTAATATTTAATGTATTAAATATTTGGTAGAACCTTCCCCAAAATTAACCTTCTAGTTGTTGCTGTTAATGTATCCTTAGGAACCAGCTCATATAAACTTAATGTAAAGCAATCAAACTCATGTAAGCTCTGGCCTAATTCTCCTCCAAACCTGTGATTCATGCTGAGAGACAGAGTTCAAACATATTCACAGTGAGGCTGCAAAAATAAATCCTCATTTACTCTATCTATATACACTATCCTTAAGCATTTTGGTTTTAAAACTTGTACTCTTTCTACTGTCAATTTTTACTTTTTATACTAACCAGACCTATTTATTTGAATGACTGCATGTGCAAGGAGGTACTTCTCAAATGACTATTTCTACATAGCAAAGACTGGCTTTCCATCACATCTCTAACAACCAAAACTGGAAAAACTATTCATTTCTTTCAAATGTGCTTATAAAACTGCAACAAGAGCTGCTTCAGATACAATAAATTTGTTGAGTCAGCACTTAAGCATTTGTAATGCTGTGTTTTGTCTCAGGGGGGCTGAGTGCTGACAGACCTATTAAAGACTCCTTTACTTGTTCAGAAAGCAGAGTTTGACACAGATATTGACACCTCATCTTCACAATAAGAAAAAAGTACTGAAATTACTCTTTAGTATTAAGTACAACTCCTGAAAACCATCAAATTTTCATACTGTGCAAAATTAGCAAATAGATTCTAAGATCCCTAAAAATCAAAAAGTAAAATAGTCACAGGTTTCATCAGCAAAACCAGATCCACTACTAAGTACTAGGTTAGTCAACGTCATGAGCATTAAATTATTAAGAAAAGTAATTTTTTAAGAATTAGCCTACAGTCTTCAAAAACTAGCAATTAACTCCTCATGGTCACCAACTAACAAGGTTTATCCTCCTTTACTGTGCAAACAATAAGTAGTAAATATTCCCTTGAAAGATGGATAAAATGAAGCTTGAATCAATAGGACTTTTGCCTGCTCTACCTCTGTATTTTGAGCTTGGTAGCCAGAATTACAGAAACATAGCAAGTTGTGATGTGGCCTGCAAAGAATGTTAGTTAGCATGGTTAATTAGTCCTTCACTACAGCAAACAGGAAATAAATTCAACTAAAACTTTTGCATCTAAAAATATTAGTTCACTTGCCATTTCACAAGCTCTGTGATTGTAAACTATGTTAATTGCCGTCTTCAAGAACAGTAAGAAAAAAAACAGTTTGAAATTTAGCTCTACAAGGCAAAACCTTGAAGAACTTGACATTTTTTTGTACAATACACTGAAAGGTCCCCATAAAATTATTTGCTTCATTCATGAGAACCCAACTAATAGATTGCCATGCAGTCCCAGAAAAATTCATTTTCAATAAACAGTCACAACAAAAATATTTCATTTGGTTTCACAAATCCAACATTACCGTTAATTCAGCCCATGTCAAGCAGAACTTTAAAGTTTCTGTGGCATTCAGAGGTCTTGTACTTTGGCACAAATAAATATCAACTTTTCAGAAGGCAAAGCCCCCTTTACTTTTGTATTACCTCGGTCAGTATTCAATTTCGTATAATCCTTCAGTCCTCAAAAATTCTTTCATATTTCTCAAGTTAAACATGAAAAGTCACTAAAGTACCCTTAAAAAAACCAAACCCCATATATCACCTCTAAGAATTTAACCCTATTCAACTTCCAAGTCCTACCATAGTACATCTGCACACGCAGCTACCAACACATCCATGTAACACAGGGTGTGCATTCTCCTGTTACATACAGTAGGGTTGCATACTTCTATCGTTTCAGCACAGGTATCTTTTACATAAGCCTTGGTTAACTAATTCAAATGATAATATGATTCTACTTTTCATGGAAATTCAGAGGAAGTGTATTCATGGCTGTACTGTTTAAGTACAACAAAAAGGCTCAGTAACTACAAACCAACAGATACTGTTTTATACTGAGCTGAACAAGTTTTTCTGAAACCAATGCTTTTCTTAATGGTAGTTTCTTATGATAATTCAGGATATTCTAATTATTTCCTAACACCCACAATATCTTTTGCTAAACTCTTTTTGATACCTGTTGGCAGGTAGGGGGTGTTATTTGCTTCTTTGTAGTGGGGGTTGTTGTACTTTTGTGTTATGGTGTTTTGTGTCTACACAGAGTATTAGTCACATTAATACAGCGGTACAGTGGTTCCCATGCAACCACTACAATAAGCAGAACTCAAAAAAGATGTAAGGAATCCAGCTCAGCTAACATTTATTTACAAAGAAATACTCTCAGCAGTCAAAAATAATACCACCTTCTTCCAATTAACTCTGCCAAATCTTGCAATAAATACAATTAGTAAAGCAAATAACTTTGCTGAGGTCCATCAGTTGCCTTGGTTATTTGAACAACATTCTTCTTCAAATTCAGCTGCTTTTATTAAATCTGTGTGGGCCAATGCTGACAGCTCAAGATCTGCCCTCCCCTTCTCCAGCCTGGGACCACCTTCCAGCTGCCCCTTTTCACTGCACTGTCCTGTCTCCCTTCCCCTCCCTCCCAAGCAGCATCCTGTTAGCTTTCAGCAACATCTGTTCCCTACTTGTTGCATGACCACACCAGAGGAGAGAGGGGAAGTATCAGAAGATACTTCCAGGCCAGCCAGCCCCAGCATCACCTCCAAGGGTGCCCTGGCAAGGACCCAGTGGAATCACAGTCTGAAATACACACTATATCAAAAGGCAAAGAGGCATGCAGGAGGAAAATGTCTCAATTCTCCTCTATTTTTGTAATAGTGGAGGGAGGCAAATTTGATTGGGCAAAAAGTATGATTATATTTTTTGAGCACTACCTGATTTCAATATAGCAAATAGTGTGTCTGTAGCTTGTTCACTTGGGCATAACTCAAAGTAGGGGACACAACAAGCACGGCTGTTGAGAGAGAAGTTGGACCACATCCTGCATTGGGACTTGAATACCTCCTCATTGACATAAATCTGTCCATTTAAAAACAAAAAGTTACATTCTTATGGTTTCAGCTTTGGGAATGAAACAGACTTTCATTCCAGAGTAGCCATAAAACAATTAACACTGCAAAATGTCTCTAACCAATTCCCCAATGCAATCTAGATTGTAGAATGACACTGACCTTGGCTCTCCACTTATCAGGCTCAGTGTAAATTGTTTTTGTTATGTTCAACTCTCTTACAGTTGTGAAGTAACTCAGTCAGGCTGTTTGAGTGATACTGGACTAAAAAGTATCTGTCACTGGAAGCCTGCCTCTTAGTTACAAAGAATATACTTCTTTACTGTGTGTGTTAAGCCTAAGGGTCAGACTTTGAGCTCTGACCTGAATGCAGAATTCAGAAGCGGGCCTCTAAAAGAGAAGCTTTAAAAAACCTGTTGAATTTGATCATTAAAGTCTTTCTTATAATGTGGGATACCTAATCTGCTGAAATTCACTAAGACAACATCATCAAATTAGCAAAAATGTTCCATGGCTTTTACATTTTCCGCTCCATCAGAAATGAACCCCCGAAATCTAATGCAACTAACTTACACAATAGAGGAATTTTCAAAAATTGAAAAGTAAATGGAACATTTAACAGCTTTCTGAACATCTTCATGAAATCTTAAAGTAGGTATTTAATCAGCATTTTCATTATGTTGAGATAATACTTCTGTGTTCTCCTACTTTCAGCAATGTAAAAGTCTAATTCACATTTTGGAAGGCCAGGGGGAAAAAAACATCCGAAAGAAAAGAAAACCCACTTTGAAGCATCAGGAATATCAACTATCCTAGCAGCCAAAGCTCTATGCTGGACTTTTTTTTTTTTTTTTTTTTTAGAGAAAACTACAGCAAATCTCAATTTTCTTTCTTTTTCATTCTCTTGACCTTGTTGCTTTATCAAGATTTCAGTCCCAAGGTATACCCAAAAAGGAACCTGTAGGTGGGAAAGGATATGCTTTCTGGCTCTGCAGAGAATCTCACAGAGTTACAATGTGTATGAAGACACAGGGGCCAGAAACCTCTGAACAGCACCAGGAGAACTAAATGCTCACACCTTTCCAAAAGGCACATCCACAAGCTGCAGCAGAAAGATGCAGTTAACACAAGATGATGTGGCAACTCTGCTGGCTTTCTGAACAGTCTGAGCCCTGTTACTGCAGAGGTAAACAAAGAATTCCTTTCTCTACCATTCCCTTGTCTGTACCACTACTTCTAGGAATGGCCAGGCTCTCTTGGGTGCTTTACCACTCCATATGGTGTGGGTCTCTCATGGTTTGTTGAGCTATATCCCAGTGCTGCACTCCATATGTACACAGCATATGTACACTTCAGCCTCCTCATTGGCCTTCTCCAGGCACTGTGACACTGGCCCAGAAAGCCAAACAGCTTTTGGCACCAAACAGAATTGTTTTGTACTTACAAGAATTATGACAATCTGTCTTTGTAAGTTTTTTAACACACACAGTCATGACTGAAGTGCTCAGACTGTAACTTACTTCTTCTCTTTAACCAGGTATAAACTCCTATGCAAGGACTAAAGGATATGCTTTACTGTTTGTGTCACTAAGAGACAACATTTACCAACCTTTTCTTTCTCCCTAAATTTGGATACAATATTAAAAGAATTACAATGTACAAAATTAAGCTTGCTCACTGAACAATTCTCAAGAGAAACCACAGTGTAAAGCAGAATGGCACCTATGGTAATTGCCTGCTTCCTAACTCTGCTAACACAGATGACTCACAACAATCTATCACTACATTTTAGTTCTCAGTGAAATACAAGTCTATTATATAATAACTAAATTTATGTGTTTGTTTACAAAGGCTACAACATTTGCTCAATCAAATAC